GATTTTTTAGAAAAGTTATATTAGCTGTTGAACATATAGTGCCAGTTATATTAGCACTCCAAAAATGTCATTCCAGATAATGCAGTAGGCAATTTCCACAGGTCCCATTGTTCTGGACCAAAGTTATTATCATATTTAATTCATGGATGTGAAGGTGCTAGGCCTCCATCATACCAAGCCATTAATTTAGGATGAATATGTTGTATCATATTTTTAGTAAAATTCCAAAGTACATTGTTTCATTAATATCAGAAGAATAATTATTTGAAAATTTTTCCATAAGGACCCCAATCAACAACTGTCTAATTAAAAATGTTTACAATTTTCTCTTCACTTGAGGAACATCAAGTCCATTGTAATGTTTTATATACCTAATTAGTGTAAGATATCTGATCACATCATTCTTCTGATGTTTTTCCTTCTGTAGTAACGTTATGTTGAGATTAATGAAGATAATTTATAACTAGAGTGAAAACGGCCTTCTCTCATGTTCTCCGTGGGAGAATTCTTTCCTTTTGTCCCTCTGTGTCATAACCATGTCTGTGTCTTCCACGTATCAAGCTAACTATCATTACTTTGCTTTCTCTGCACCAAAAAAGCTGAATTTAGTCTGAGCCTTTTGGCCATAAGTTAGCCTTTCCATTGCAGGTTCTTCCATGCCTTTGCCTCCCATACCTCTTGCCCCAGTAGGTGTTATCAGTGCCTTCACCATATATATGTCTTTGGGACCCCCATCTATGCTCAGAAGGTTACTTACATCAATTATTGAGACTTTTCTGATAAAAACATTATACATTCATACCGAAGATAAGCTGGAAGTAATAGTTTTAGTGCTCCTAAATTGAACTTCAAATCCTCACTGCCATTGAGTTTGTTCCAACTAATAGTGACCCTCCATCAAGCTTCCTAGGCTGTAAATCATAACAGGAGGAAATTGCCCGTCTATCTCTTGAGAAAGTCACATTTGGCTCCTGTGGATTTGGTTTAATTTTCCTCAGCTTCAGCTTGAACTTGCATATGAGTAATTGGTGGTCAGTTCCACAATCAGCCCCTGGCCTAGTTTTCACAGCTGATATTGAGCTTCTCCAGCGGTTCCTTCCACAGATGTAATCAATCTGATTCCTATGCATA